ACACACACACACACACACACACACACACACACACACACACACACACACACACCTTGCGCGAGGAGAGCGATTCCGAGGACGGAATACCCGCGCGTTCTCAGCGACTCGAGCGCGGACAAGGTCGCGCCGATGCCTCCCAGCTTCCCGTCGCCGACCAGCAGCACCGGCAGCCTCATCGGGCGGAACGTGTCCGCCTGGAGGGACCCCGACGGCGCGGGGCTCAGGACACCGCCTGCGGCCTCTACCAACACCAAGCTCCCCAAAGACGAGGAGGAGGAAGAAGGTTTGGGGGTCGTCGGGCTGCCGGCGTCTCCCTCCGCCTTGTCGTCGGCACCGCCGCTGCCGCGGCCGTCGCTCGACAGGATCGCCTTGACTTCATCGACGATAGCCTCGACGATTTCGGTGTCCGAGGCGATCTCGCCGCCGTCTCGCTCGGCCGCCAGGTGCGGGGACACCGGATCGGTGTAGTCGAAGAGCGTGGACGTGCGACACAACGGCGGAGCGACGCCGCCGGGCTTGCCGCTGGCGGCGGCAGCGGAGGCCCCGACGTTGGCGTGTCGTGAGACGAAGACAGCGTCCGAGGGGGAGCCGGCTTGGACGGGCTTGATGTACGACGCGCGCAGGCCCTTTGCAACGCCGTAGTAGCGGCAACCAAAATTGCAACAACGTATCAGCAACGTGTCAATCTTTCGTCAGCGTTGGCCATCATCGTATTGTTCTCATCAACCATCTATGCGGCTACCGTTACGCCTGGAATAAACGTTCGACAGCACGGGTCAGCAAGCTTAAGCTTCCAAAAGAGGGAGGCGAGGTCTACTCAGGAATCACGCACGATCGTAACCCACACCCTCACAGAGTAAACAAAAGCCGGTTGGCGTTCTTGTGGCGATTAGAGTATATAAGCCACATCCATCAGCGCGTGTTCTGCCTGAACCGCTACACCACGAGGGTTTGCATGCGCGGCTGCTACACCTACTAGCGCAAAACATCCACATTCGTCCAAAACCCCAAAACAAGCTTGCCACACAGGCAGCGCTCTTCATTAACTGACGCGGGACCAAAAATAATTGCCCGTGGGCTTTTCCAACAATCAGACCTTATAATCTCCCCGGGACTCTCATACGTTGAGTCGTCCGTAAGCTGGTGGACAGCAGGGCCAAGTTATCCCTCACCTGCAACGCGGCGGCACGCAGGAGACCCGCCGTGATGACCGTCTTGCCCACGTCCGTGTTGGCGCCGAAAACCTGAGGTGGTGGCAGGGGACACAAGTGGAACAACCATCTACATGGTCAGGTCAGGCCTGGTGTGCATTGCGCCATATGACACGGGTGCGTGTGCCGCGCGAGGGAAGGAGGCGAGACGTACCTGGAAGGGGCTGGCTCTCGCCGGTGGTGCCCAGTTGCGTTAGTCTGGCAAAAAGGACGTACGTGGCGTTGTTGCTATTTCCACCCACAGAGAGCGCAACACGAAGGACGCGCAAGCTGTTGGGTACAGTACATATGCTAGCACGTGTGTGTTTTGGTTTCATCTATTCTATTCGAAAAACATCGCCAACCAAGGCACTGGTTCGTAGTCATCGTTGATTGCCGCTTGTCGCCCCCCCCTCCCCCCCGGTGTTTGCCATCGGGGTTGGGTTTTCGTCGCTTGGCAACGACGTTGTAAAACAAGCCAATTCACTTCGTGCACTCGGCAACCAGGTTACCGTTGCTTTTTTCTACATCTGTTTTTTTTTTGGCGGTAACCATAATGGTGGTCGAGTAGATCATGCTGTGCGGGGTGGAGAACCCTCACTCCGCGCAAGGGGGATGATCGCACCACGTTGTGTTAAAATGGTCAAGCACCCTCGAGGCAGTTACACAGTGCTT